CAATTTCTCCCGGGCAATTTCTCTCGTAGCAGCTGATCTCTCGAACACTGCGGTCAAACGTATGGGCATGCCCAAACGACATAGGTTTAGTCAGCCGCGCGCCAATTTCATGGGCAAAAATTTTTAGAGGAAAATTCGAGAAACAACTGTCGTTACGCAGAATTTTCGAAAATAAACTGAAATGTTCATACAAATCTGCAGAGACATGTATGCTATTAGTTGATATCTCATAATACCTCACCTTTTGCACGTGTTTCCTTCCACCTCCCAATTTGGAGAATATCTCTTTGCGTGCCATGCGCAGTGCGAGATCAATTCTTGTCTGCCCGCTGATAAACTGGAGGTTGTCAACGACCTTAAGGACATTCTCACTTGTGATGTTGTCTCCTTTAAGGGTGTTCAGATTCAGCTCAATGTGTGGCACGCTGTCAATCATCATGATACTGACATGGGTTTTCTTCTCCGAGATGGTGAACTGGGTAAGGGTTCTGTCAACCATTTTTTTGATCTGTTTGAAGTTTTCAACACCAACACTCTCCGACGAGTCGATCATGAAAACCAGGTCCATGGGTTTTTCGCACACTGCATTGAAATAAAAATGAGAAAATATTAAATAACGTAGATTTTCTTATGATTAAAAAAAGAAGATGATTGATTCCATAATAATAGGTGAGTCAAAGGCCAACATTGCATTTATTTGTTAATGTTATGTGTGCTGCTATGGTTTTCAGGGGAAATGGACGAGGAATCAATCGTCGTCAACAGAGTATAAAGAGGGGAGGGGGCAGAGTATTAAAAATTGAGTGCAAATGAAGGGGTCATGAAAATACTGACTACAGAACCCTGGGGAGGATCATAAAAATGTTATAAGTAACAACCTCAATACTCTGACTCTCCCCTCCCCCCTCAGGCTGTAAATAGTGACCGGTCCTTTACTTGTATGCCCTTGATGACGTTTCCCTTGCTTGTGTTTGACAGCTGTTTGGCATGTCAATTTACAGCCATTGAAACAACATTTGTTTTCAGTCTCCCCGCAGTCCACATCCACAGCGCATTCGTGAACGATTGGGAATGAACAGTGGTGATGCCACGTCAGCAGAGGACAGTCGCCAGAATTTTGCACTATAGGGAAAAATAAAACAATACAAATTTACTCTTCGAAGAACGATAGATTTCGCGTTCGGATCTAATTAAGGAAACGTGATTACAAGAAAAAAAAAAAAAATGCGGAAACCAAAAGAATAAAGGTTGGTTTTACTTTTTTTTCCGAGATGTTTCGTATTTTTGATCAAACCCAGCCGATAAAAAAAAAAATGTTGTAACATCAAATCATATTTTGATTAGTTAAATCGGATTATTCGACCCTGAATCTTATTTTAGCTCACGCTTCCGTTTGCAGACAGATATACCACCCTTTTCGATCCTTTTTGGCACCGACGCATTATTTTGATAGCATCTTAATTCGAATGTTTGTCGTTTTCAAGGTCAACTATGTTTTCCCGTGGGCATCTCAAGAAGCTGTTGATGGAATGAATCGTTTTGTTTGAAACAACAAACCAAACAATTAGAACACCTTCCTAAACTAGAAATTTAAACAAATACAGCTTTTCATATTATCCTTGAAAAGCCTGAAATAACATTCGTGAGAAAACGAGATGAGGATATACGCGAATAATTCCAACTTTGTAATAAGCTTATAATAAAAACTCGTTTAGTTTACACACTTTTTTTTAACAGCTCCTTCACGAAATATTTGCGCCGTTTCTGTTATGCAAAAATATTAGCGCACAGCTTGTATTTAATTGACTCCTTTTGACCCGAATTGCCTTAATTACAGCAGTAATGGCCAGCAAAGCAATAGATCTCACTACACAAATGCTTAAATTACTATGCGTGCATCTAGGAACACTCTTGTAATTAATCTACTTGCAGCAACAGAAGCGTTATCTCGCGTTTCGTCTTTGTAACAATGTGATTTTTCATAAGAAACAACCGTCATCCATGATACAAAGACTAATTGCGGATTATACTGAGCGTGGTTTGCGTTAAGTTAATTCCTTCCTGTTCCTACGATAGTTTGGATGTCAAGTTAAAGCCCTTCCCTTTTTAAGATCCCAAGGGAAACAAGCCAAGTATTTTCATATCAACACAATACAACCACAATCTATCTATCTATCTTACAAGAATTCGAAGCACCTAGGTAGCTGAGGAAGAAAAAATAGTGTCCGCGGTTGGAATCACTTTAAGTTGAAAGAGCAGAAACATAGCATAGAAAGACGCAAACAAACTCTTGCCTGTTTTTTTTTTTTAGGCTTAAGGCCTACGAGATTAAAGATCAGATCGTTTTGAAGAATCTGTGATAAACCTGCCTCTCTTTAACTTACATGCTTCTTCGTCACCGTCTTGGCAAAGAGAAGGCCCGAAAAAAGACACAAACACCGCAACAGCCAAAGCTGTATAGAATTGCATATTGCCCTCCTTAATGAAGTGGGTCGAGGCTGTAGCAAGTTTATACGTGCCTGAACTAACGGCGCCTCAAGTAAATTCTAAATCACCTTGTTCCTATGACTTGGACGTTATTTTACTTGGAGTATAATTTCACTGATAATAATGCTGTCGGCCAAAGTGATTGGCAGAAGCTTCGCAATTTTGACTGCACGTCACAAAAATTGACCAACGAAATTAAGGTATGGAGGTACCCCAACAAATAGTATCCGCGGTCAGGTTAAGAACATTAATTACTTGTCAATCGTAATTTTAATTGGTCGAGTCGAATTGTGGTCAACCCACAATTCCTCTATTCGCTCCGACGAAGGGCTAACGCTCGAAACGTCAGCTTTTGTAATCATTACGGTGGCCAATTTACCATTTCAACTTTGTTGATATATCCAAAGTAATTTTAATTGGGCTTATTATTGCGTATTGTTAATAGAAAAAATGATATATTTTATAAGACCAAACTGAAATGGACCCTGAAACCCTGAGGCTCATCGATATCAATGAATCAAACTGGAGTCATGCCTGTAGGCTGATTAATTGTAGGTTTGCGTGACAATTATCTGGCGATTCAAGTGCCAGCGCGCAGTCTGCAAGATATCGATGTTTATCACATGAAACTGATTTGATGAGTGAGTGACTACGAAATGGAGATTTCCCACCAGGCGCTGTTCATGAAATGAACGCAGCCCGTGTTGTCATCGAAAAAACGTAAATTCAACTGCATTAATACAATGGCGGAGACGGGGGGGAGGTGGTCGGATGGTTCAACCTCCCCTTTCCACCTTGCCTGTCTGACCTTAACAGTCTTGCAATGACAGGATCGTATATTACCACTCAAACGGCTGATTTTTGTGTAACCGAGCGTAAAAGTGTAGGGAGCGAGAGAAAAAAGGCGTCTGTGGAAAGAGGAAGGGTTAAGGAGGAGGGAGAGGTGGGTGGGGACTAAGAAAACACTTTCGCCTGCACAACCCTTTTATTCTGGTGCTTGTCTTTTTTGCTGGTTTCCATTCACCGAGGATCCCAACACAGATTAGATGCGCGTGTCTCGATGTTTAGCTTTGCTCAGCTTCTACACCAGGCTCAGCTCGGTCACCTCAGGTCGTTCGCTTGTGGTTAACAACAGACCGAGAGAGTATAACTGCAAATCTCGTATCGCTGAGGATTATTCATCACGTCGCCAAAATGGTTTTTTGGTTTCCAAAATGATACTGAAAAAAAAAAAAGAACACACACCTAGAGTTACAAATTTGATGGCATCGAATTTGTTTGAACGAAGCAATTGGCAAAAATTGATTTATTCACTCACCGAGAAAACTCCCATCGACACAATTGCTGGAATATATCCACCCAGGCTTCATCAAAGTTTTCAGAGCTAAGACTTCAAATTTGCAATAAACGCATTGTATTGATGCAGGTAATAGGCAAATTAATCGTTCTTGGGGATCTAGATTGATAAATTATATATATATATATATATATATATATCACTAATGGAGACTCCTTGGTCGCCTTTAGTGACGTCACGACCAGTAACACGCATGTCATAAATGAGACGAGTTACTGAACGCATAGTTATGATATGTTGCCTTCCATATCAAATAATTATTACGATTATTATCAATTATTACGAGGAAATTATCCGACGAATGATAGCTTACCTCCATATGCTTTATACCTAGAAAAAGAGAAGGAGGGAAACAAAAAATAAAAATAAAAGTTAGCGACGATCGGTAAATATGTAGAGGATTTGGTCCTGAGGTTCAATCTCGTACCAGGAGTACTCGGCCGCGTGTGTGGTTGGAAGCCAGTTTAAATCTGGCTTCACGTTAGCTTATGTATAAAGTTTATGTCGCGAATCTAATCTCAATCGAAAACATCTGTTTTATTTTCAAGGATTTTTCGGTTTTCAACAAGTGATTATAGAGATTTTGATATCATTTAAGCTAAAGACATATTCAGTCTTCCCACCACAAGCAACTTTGGAAACTTCCTCTGCCAAGTTTACAAGTTGGTCAAATGATTCCGTGGTAAGTACATTTTCTGGGGTGCCTGTAATTTCTACCAGCTCATCCTCGTCAATGTCTTTCTTATTCCCAACTGCCACAACATAAATATTGATTCCTTTGTTTCGCAGAGGCTTGGACGCCTCCTGTAAAGACGTAAGACTGCCGAGTGGGCCTGTTTGTTTACCAGCGTTTAACAGAATCATAATCTGTAAATTAAAAGTCAAGAAAGTGTTGGCATTTTTCGGTTTCAAAGGGTGCGATAAAGTGACGGATCATTGAAGAATTTTTAGCTTACAAAGGCGAGGAATTTACTCGACGAAAAAGTCACCAGCCGAAATAATCAATAAGGCTAAGGGACCAGAGAGATCAAATGGTTTTTAGGGGGAACGGAGGGGACCAGTTGCCTATAACATAGTATGAAAAGGTAGGGGGGGGGGGAAGGATAAAGAAAACTGACTGACAATGAGGGAATACTATCGAGTCTCAAGGGGTGATACAAACAACCAAAAACCTCCGACCCACTCCCCCAGGAGATACATTCTGGCCAGTCCATAAAATAATCGCAGTGGCAAATGAGGACCCAGAGAAGCCAAAAATAAGGGCACAGATGAGCCGATAATGACTTAAAATGGACATGCGGAAATGACAGGATTTTATTCACTGCATCTGATTAGTTGCTAGAAGAGGTGGCGGGAGGTTTTAGCCAAATCACGTCGCTAGTTAAACAATCCCATTGTAATACCGAACAACATTTCACACCTATGCTTTATTTCTCCAGTTCTTATGCGAACTTATTGCGCCATGGAGATTTTGTTTACAAACCTTCTTTATGTCATTTTTATTCACCCTCATTCCCGCCTCTGCAGTAAAAAGTCTCTCATTTGCAAGTTTTAGCGCCTTGTCAATGTGGCGTCCTCCACCGGTTGGCACTACTTTCTGGATATAGTCTTTTACATTTTTCGGAGTAAGGAGGTCACCTTCAAAAGTTTTGAAGTCCATAACCAATTGTGCTTCTGTGCCGTAGGTGATTAAACCAACATGGCTTTTTAGGCGGCCTACATTGAAAAAGTCCACTAGTGAAGTGGTGAATTCCAAAACCTGACGATGGGTAGAAAATTTGAAACGAGTTCATGAGACATGAGGTGAAGCAATTTGTAAAGTGTCGATCACGTGACTTGTGGTCACTGAGTCTCCCGTGAAACACTCGACATGCATTTCATATTACATCATAATTTGTTTCAAAGTCCTCTTTTGCAAATTTTAAATTGAGTTAAATAAAGACGCATCAGCAGATTTCTTGAGAACAAAGTTCTCAATCGTTAAAAAAAAATAAGACAAAAATAACCAAAACAGTTCTTGCAATGGGATCATTTATGTAAAACGTATTTCGTTATCAATTTGTAACGGGAATTGTACTTTAAAACAAACCTCTTGCCATTTGCTGCTAGCTTTGTCGGATGAGTCCAAAATGATACCAAAATCTATTGGTTCTGCACAAAGAATTTCTGAAACAAAAATTTTGTTGACATTGACACGAACGAGTTGTTTTCATCAGGATGGGGATGTTTCGTCAATAGTTTAACAGATTGTTATGAGGAAAGTGTAAGCACATGGCGTAATTTACATAAACTAGTAGTAGAGTCAACAATAATGGAAAGCAATTCTACCGTTATATAATGAAGTATTTCTTTTTTTATCCAGAAATGACTTGAAATTTTCTTAGCCTGGCTAGGATCTTTGACTGAAACTAGACAAAATAACGAGTACTTTGTATGTCGTGCCTTCAGGGATAACAGTTTTAAACAATTTGTGCCTATGGTATTCGTTACAATTACTTGATAAGCCCAAGTGAGACAAACGTTTTGAGATACGCGATAACATCACATCCCTCTCAAACGGAGCCAGCCCCAGAGACGAAAAGTCACGCGATGTAAAATCTAATGTGCCGTACGATCTCAAATATGTTCAAGCCAAAACAATTTAAATGCTCATTTAGGATTTAGAAACTAACGAAAAAGAAAATTTACTGACTGAAAACTCAGAGGAACGGAAAGGTCAGTAAGTAGTTGAGAGAGATGAGGTAATTGCAGTGTGATCTACAGCACAAGTTAAGATCCAGCACCGAATTCTTACCCAATTATATAAACTGCTTTGTTAAACTGATCACATCTTTGCAAATACATAAATCCTACGTCAGCGTGCGTCACCGTTCATTTTGAACTCAGCGTAAAGCAAAGGTGCCATGCGGGTTACAGCTCTCATCTTCTTAAAAGACACTATTAATTTCTATCCTTCCGGTTTAGGATACACAGACCTGCTCACTATAACATACCTTTTTGGGCAAGCGTTCTTTCTCTCAACTTCAGCAAAACGCTGCAGATAAGCAGTAGTTCAGTATAACGCATAATTTTTCATGCGGATTCATCGAGTACAACTTTGAAAGACAAACATCGTTCGTTTGGGTTTATGGCCACAGCGATCAGATCTGATAAAATTCTTTAATTTCATTCCGTGACAAGTTGGTGACATCAAAAAATTAACGCGTCATCGATTGTTAGAGAAATTCACCGCCTGATAGAGATTGATTTTATTAACAAACCAATCAATTAGAAATTGTTTCAATCGTAGGGCATAATGGAGCACTTTTCTGCTCAGTCGGACGTAGCGTTATCATGAGTAATCTGAAATCCATTCTAGGAGGTAAACCTGAAACTTTTTGACGCACTAATTCAAAAAGAAGGTATTCTTTTCCCTAGTTTCGTCACTAGTAAGTTGACTCTTGCGCCTTTACATCGCCCTTCCCGTAAACAATACTTCTGGTCGAAGAATAACTTCATTCTCAAAAGGGATTTTTAACCCAAATCTTCTCAATGTTTGAATAAAAGCACTGTATGATAGACCAGCACCTTTAAACCAAGTGCGTCCGAGAAGACTCATTCAATTCTTTTTGCCGTTCGCGTCCCTTTCTCCTCTTTTTTTTTTTTTTTTCCAGCTAAACAGTGTTTTCCTGTCACGCATTTGCTTTGAGGGATAATCCTCATACTAGGTAAGTCGTGCACATTCAAGTACACAATCTGCTCAAGGCTAGCAGGCCAAACTTCAGATCCTGTTTTAGACTCCAGGCGGTGGAAATTGCGCACTCTGTTTACCGTTTAAAGAAATCGCATAAGAGGTACAGGGGTGCAACTGATTCTTACTTTGTCAAATAGACTGATAACCAATGACAATAAAATTCTTGGCATCCTTCCTCAACTCAAATGCTAGTTAGCTACAGAATTCAACCCACAACTTTCTCGAATCTTAAGGTGATCTTGTACCCAGACCCTACCGTGCAATTGTGGAAGTCTGGGTATGAACTAGTCTTCAAGAGCAACCTGGTTCGCGAGTACCGACCAAAACCTCTAAGGTGAATGCCATTGAGAATTTCATTTAATTTTTTTGACATATTTAAAGCTATATGAACCAAATATTTTTAACTGTTCTTCGGGGTCATCAATTTTAAAAGTAAATCTGACCACTCTCTCGCAAAAATCCTTGATAACTCCCTTGGGACAGTTGTTATTGTGATTGTCAACTTAAGGAGCATAATGCCCATTGCTACACAGAAGCTGAAACCTCAAACAGAAACGAGAACGATAAAATAACCGCTTCGCTCCATGGTGTACAAATGCGCCAGCCATGAGGTATCATATTACCTCACAAAGACCACTATTCTACTCTCGCGGCCTCGCTTGGCCCCAGTAAAAGTCGGATGAATTTGCCTGGATCCTGACCAAACTTCAACGCTTTGGTTTCAACAAAGATCCTGGAAACATGGGTCCATTGGAGGCAATAACGACGGTATTTGTCTTCGGACTGCTGCTCGCAAGAATACGCACCCGTGAGTATTGAATATTCATGACTGAAAATAATAACGCTATCGAGTAAATTTTAACTCACGCGAGATGTATTAGACTCAATGTTGTGCACGGACAATGATACGAAGATTTCAATTCTTTGCTTTACAGAGGGGAATTTCATTTTCTATTAAGAAACGTCCATTGTGATTTGAAGTATTATGATTTACTAATCCACGGATTTAGCGATGATTTATCGGTAAAGGTTACAATCGAATCTGACCATTTTGACAATGAAACTTTTCCCTATTCAAACTTTGAAATTATGAATTAAGACGAGACTTTCTTATACTCCTCGTCGGCTAAACCAAACTTCAAATCATTCGATTCTATTTCTACGTTATTTTTTTCTGAATACTATGCCTTAGTGACCAGGAGTACGAACTTTCAAAACAACGAGTCAATTGTCAACGCGGACTTGTGCTGAGGAAATTTCGCGTGGCTGAGAAATTTTATTATGGCATCGCTTGCTGGGAGTTATCAGTGAAAGACAGGTCTCATATATGCAACGAAAGATATGATTTCATCCATCCTTTGAAATCAAGGCAAACATCTTGAATGTACGTTATCTATGTGACCGTTCGCCGAACGCAGAACATTTTATAGAAAAAGATTGTGTGACATGGATGTTGTCACACAACACTGTTTCATAAATTTCATCAGTTAGTTGTCTAGGACAAAAGATATTCTGTGTTACTTAAAAGTAGTCGTGTTAGATAATAGTATTTAGCTAGGAAGTACATGTGATCCGCAGAATAAATAGAAATATAAGAATATTGACTCCTTTTTTTCTTTCACGGAACCAACAGTTTGAATCTATAGTGTGTAACAAATTCCAAGGGACCCAACAAACATGAAGCCGGCCGGAGCTAGTACCCGGACTTCTTGTACGAAGTCCATGACAGCCTGCCAATTATTAGGTTGCCTTGTTCCCAATGAAGAAAATAGATAAAGTTATCACTTTTCTTTTTTCGATTGCTTTATTATAAGGCAGACTCTTCCATGGGTGAGTAGTGTAGGGGAGACACAAACGGGAAGTTTTAGTGGGGTGGCGGAGGGGGTGACCATAGGCCTTTATGACCTCGCTATCATACTTGTCTCCTCTGTTTGGTGGC